CTATGAATGTCTATTACATTCATAAGAAATATCTTCTTTCTAAAACTTTAATTTATTTTTTTATTAAGCCTCACTATGAATGTGGTAAGAAGCCACATGTCTCATTCTAGTACTATTATATAATTCCTTTGGGCTCTGTTAGTGGATTTATTAGCTTAGACAGTTTTGACACTCTGCCATAAATATATATATATATATATATACATATATATATATATATATATACACACACACACATATACATAAACACATATGTATATGTATATATATATATGTATATATATATTCATTCATTTTATATATATAAAAATCTCAGTCACTTTTCCAAAAGTCATTTCCGAAGTTGAATTTGTTTTGCATTAAGCAAAGATTTTTCAGGCTGAAATGTAAACCTGTTTCATTGGTATAAAATCCTTCTGAGATATTTTTGTATATACTTCATTTGTATTATATACTTTTGTCCTTAGTAAAAATAGAAGCACTGAGTTGTAAAAGCTCCTTAAGAGTTGATATATAGCACTGCATAAACTAGATAGCTATTAAAGTTAAATTTACATTTTTAAATTACCAAATGCCTTCGGTAAAGCCTTTAAAATTCTGAACATGTAAATAGTGTTCCAGGTACAATATAGGCTCTTGGATTCATAATTGAATTTTATTTCTCAATTATACTGTATCTATGGCTAATTGTTTTTAAAATAAATTTAATGTATAATGATGATTAACGGTATTGTTTAAAGTGTTGACTTTAACTTTGCATGTCAGTTCTAGAAGTGTTTTTTTAAAGGTGTTACTGTTTTAATATGCATACTTTCCTATGGAAGAATAATGTTGAACTTTTTCAGAATTTCCTAAATTTAACAAATATTAAATACTACTAAATATATGGTTATTATGATAATATAAAGATTTTTACTGTGCTGTTTTGGCTTTTTTCCTTCATAGAGCAATTCCTTCCTAACCTGAATTCCACTGTCCTTGGTGAAAACTACTTTGATAGAATCTACCAGATGCTTTACCTTTTGGTTAAAGGAACTATACCGGTTGAAATCCACACCACCGCGGTCATATTTGTTTCTTTCCAATTGCCTGCTGTTACAGAAGATGACTTCTATAGCTCTCATAACCTGGTTAGAAATCTTGCCTTGTTCCTGAAGATACCAAGTGACAAAATCCGCGTCAGCAAATTAATACAAGGGAAGAGTCTGCGGAGGAAGAGATCCACGGGACTCACAGTTGAATTGGAGATTGGAGATGCTCCTCCTCAGTTCATAAACAATGATACCACAGGTATGAAGAGTAGGTGTTTGAGAGAGAAGAATGTAATACTAGACCCACGATGACCCTACCAGGGCCTGGTAAACCTGCCCTCAGGAAATCCCACCAACCCCACGTCCTGAACCCTGTAAGGGCCTAGAGACCCTTTTCCTACTCTACCCCTGTAATCCCAAACTGTTTTGGAATTATGAAGGAACTATAGCCTCTATTTTGTTATTGTAGCAATTAGTAAATTCAACAAAAGGATTTGAGCTAACACAGAAGATTTGAGAGGTGACATAAGGAAGTGACTTTATAGCTGAGAGATTAAGCATAAAAAGAATCAGTCTATGAAAAGAGAAAGGTAAGAATGTTCAAGTGTAAGGAAATGGGAAACCAAAAGAAGCTCTCCTCTTCATAAGCTGAAAGGACTGTGGATGTTTCCTTAAGGAGAAGAGTAGATCTTTGGAGATGCTGAGCTGTAGTAAAGTCACAGATTTACCCTAGCAAATGCAAAGGTGCGAGAATATGTTCTGTCTTTAATTCCTGTGACTGATCCAATCAGTGTCCCCAGCCGTCACCCTTTTCCCTGTCCCTTACTCTCCATACCCCCATTTTCTAGGTATCAGATGAAAATCAGCTCAGCTGTCACATCAGAGGTATCTTTGCTGCTTTAAATTATGTCCTTAGAGTGACTCACTTTGGGCATTTGGGTAAATGTTCAGCCCTTCAGATTTTTTCCTTTCTATCTGTTTAATTTGGTATCTGAATACCAAGGGGACTTTCCTGTCTTCAGACCTCCATGTGGCCTCTTGCTTTCATAGTCGCTGCTATAGGGTAGGTGGTCACAAGCCTCTCTTGAGGTGCAACTGTACCATCCTGGCCTCTTGGCATGCATCTCCGGCATGTATCCCCAACCATGCCATTGCCTCCAGTAATCAAGCACAAGTGTCAACTAGGCACACTCATCTCCAAAAAGATGAGACGTAGATCCCTGTCAGAGGAAGATTAGCATCGAGCTAATGAAGCTTAAGCTTCCAGGCCTTTCACTTGTACAAGTCATGGGAGGGACTTGAACTTTTAAGACTCTGGGAGAAGGGTCCATTTAATAATGTGGTCCAATCATTGTTATTATAAAAGTTGCAAAAATAAGCACTTTCCTTATTCTTTTTCTTAAAGAGAGCCTCCAAACTATATAAATTTTAGACTCAGAAAATCTGGATCTATCTGATCTCTGTCCAGCATCTTTTTCATACACACCTGGACTCTATCATGTATAAACCTGGGTACTGGGTAAAGTTCTCACCTTCTGTCTCTAGGGGACATCACTCATGGCTTAAGGAAAGCCCTACAACTTGGCAAAGAGGAATTTCACAGCAAAATATTGGGAAGTGGCAAGAAAGATGTGCATGTAGTAATACTCCTGGCTCTCCATGGCCTTCACATAGTGTCAGGATATCCAGGAATTCCCAGGTGTCTAGAAAGGGGTCCCTCAATGGATCCCTACAGAGGGGACCTCTCGATAAACAGATTGGTCAGGGATAAAAGCTCTTCAGGTTAAGGACTTTGGTTTCTTAAGGTGGCAGTTAGCAGAAATGGGTGCCTTCATGTGTCAAGCAGCCAGAGAAAATGTGTAAACAGTGCAGGCAGGTCAGACCTGCCACGCTGCACCAAAAACCAGCGAGGATGAGTGGTAATAGTAGTCTGTGGATATGAAGCAACTTTGTACTGCTACCCCTGGGTCACCTGAGCCCTCATGCCTGGGAAGCCATCTTGGAGGAGAGTATATGGAGGGAATGGGGGGGAAGAAGGAGTCTGAAAGACTGAGCATTTATTCAGAGGGTCTAAGTCAACCAAAAGAGACCTGTTAAACTGACAGGACTGAAATTCCCTAGGACCACGATTTTGAAAGTGTTCTGTGAGATCAGCTGCCTCCTTCTTCATGAGCACACTGAGCTTCATGGTTCAGCCTTAATGGAAGAAATGCAGTGCTCCTCATCCTCAAGGCAGGACTCTGGATCTAGAAGGCACTGGATACCTAAGCACGAGGTGTTGTCAAGATTCAGAGTACACCAAAAATATCCTGCATAGAGTTGTTTTTTTTGTTTTTTTTTTTTTTTAAATTTTTTTTTTCAACGTTTATTTATTTTTGGGACAGAGAGAGACAGAGCATGAACGGGGGAGGGGCAGAGAGAGAGGGAGACACAGAATCGGAAACAGGCTCCAGGCTCTGAGCCATCAGCCCAGAGCCCGACGCGGGGCTCGAACTCACGGACCGCGAGACCGTGACCTGGCTGAAGTCGGACGCTTAACTGACTGCGCCACCCAGGCGCCCCCATAGAGTTGTTTTTTAAAAGATCACCCTGACGACAGTGTATAGAATGGAGTGGAAGAAGGAGAATGGATACAGGAAGCCAGTTTAAAAGTTGTTTTAGTAACCCCCTTCCCCCAATGATGGCTTTGACTACGATTTTGACAGTGGGGACAGAGAGATTGAGAAATCGGTAACTGATTATACGGTATGGGGGAGAAATGAAGTAGAAGAAGGGATCAAGCCAAAGTAGCAGGCTCTGACAAATGAGTATGATGAATAGAGGTGCCCCTTCTTAGGAAAGGAGCACTGTGGGGGCAGCAGGTCTACGAGGACCCGCCAAGCTAGACAAAGACAATAGAAACTACCTGTAGTGTTAAAATTAAACTTGAAAATCAAGGTCCAAAGCAAGTAACAATTTGTGGGTAATGTAGTGTTAATTTCAGAACTTACTAGCAGAAATTGTATAGATTCGATGATGCTAATTATCCTTACGTTAGAATTCTATTTTAAAAAAATGCTATGTGGCAATAAACTTGCATGACAGTGCTTCACTTCTTAACAAAGAAGGACATGGGAACGTATTAAATTAAGAAACATATTTCCCACTATGCTGTCATTCATTTTTCTTGTGTCTATTTTATCTACCTTTGGGTTTTCTTTAATTGCAGCTTAAAAACATATTCTCCAGAGTTCTCCATTTTCCTAAGCTCATTCATATAACTTTATCATGTTGAGCTCATGTGCAAAGAAAAAGCTAAAGCATTCCATAATTTGGATGGAGGAGCGCAAACAAAAACTAAAGTGAAAAACTCTCATAATGCTATATTCTTAGATCACATATGACATATTACTGTTTCCCCATAGGTCAGATGCAGTTATCTGAACTCCAAAAAATTGTTGGTTCTCTTGGACAAGCTGTCATTTCAGGAAAAACCAGTAGTATCCTTGGATTTAATATTTCTTCCATGTCTATAACCAATCCCATCCCCAGCCCAAGTGACTCTGCCTGGATTAAGGTAAGAAAGGGCAACTAGAAAAATATACCTTAGGTATTTAAAACATTGCTGCTTATTTCTTATTTTAACTCTTTATATTTCAATGCAATAATTTAGAGAGCATGTCTTTCTAATTAACGTTGGCTATTTTTAAATGTTTATTTGTTTTTTTTAACATTTATTTATTTTTGAGACAGAGAGAGACAGAGCATGAACAGGGGAGGGGCAGAGAGAGAGGGAGACACAGAATCTGAAACGGGCTCCAGGGTCTGAGCGGTCAGCACAGAGCCCGACACGGGGCTTAAACTCACGGACCGTGAGATCATGACCTGAGCTGAAGTCAGACGCTCAACCGACCAAGCCACCCAGGTGCCCCAACATTGGCTATTTTTAATGGTATACTAAAATGATAAAGTAGTTGAAAAAGGAGCATATCTTCTAAAAAATTATTTATTGGTATAAAATGTGATTTTCTTTGAATATTTATAACAGTGCTTCATGAATTTGATCAGGGGGAAATATTTTAAGAAAATTAATTTCACATATTAAGCATATTTTTACGCTTATTATTACATATTACACTTGGCCTAAGATGAATTTGCTACTGACTGTAATTTATCATGTGAAAACCACTTCATCACTCATGACCGTTAATTTACAGGTGACTGCCCAACCAGTTGAAAGGTTTGCATTTCCTGTTCATCATGTGGCCTTTGTGTCCTCACTCTCAGTGATCACTCAGCCCGTGGCAGCACAGCCAGGACAGCCATTTTCTCAGCAACCTGCAGTAAAGGCAGTAGATTCAGATGTAAGTTATAACCCAGAGCTTTAACTGAGTGAAGGAATTAAGCTATAAATTCTGGAAGGTGAGCCAACTTCTGTAATCCTGGTATGCTGGCAACCTGAGGATTTCACTACCCCTTGAAAACTGGACTAAAACCTGTGGATATAATATTTTACTGTTTTAAAAATGTTCCTTTTCAATGAACTTGTTCCACTGCCCACCCATATTTGTGAACTCCTTGTACAGGAGAAGCTTCTACAGATTTCAGATTTGTATTGAGGCATTTTAAATAATACAGTTTTGCATATCTTAAAAAAAAAAGCATGGGAACAGGACAATTATAATTCTCTATTACTTTTTTCTTTTTTTTTTACATTTTTTTTTTAAAGTTTATTTATTTTTGGGACAGAGAGACAGAGCATGAACGGGGGAGGGGCAGAGAGAGAGGGAGACACAGAATCAGAAGCAGGCTCCAGGCTCTGAGCCATCAGCCCAGAGCCTGACACGGGACTCAAACTCACAGACCGTGAGATCGTGACCTGGGCCGAAGTCAGCTGCCCAACCGACTGAGCCACCCAGGCGCCCCATCTATTACTTTTTTCTTTAGGGTAATTGTGTATCAGTTGGGATTACTTCACTGACTTTGAAGGCCATACTAAAGGACTCCAATAATAACCACATCACTGGTCTTAGTGGAAATACAACAATTCCATTCAGCAGCTGCTGGGCCAACTATACAGACCTTACTCTTCTTAGAACAGGTGAGTGTACTATTTTGGATCTTCACATATACATCCACAAATAGGGATAATTATAATTGAACAAAGCATTCTATAATACTCTGATCAATAAATTATAGAAATTGGAACACTATACCTGCCTTGTTTCAAAGAACATTTCAGATAACATCTAGCTTACGAAAGTATCCAAAACAAAATAGAAATTAAAATAGGAAAGGAAATTAAACAGATAATCTGAGGCTGTGCATCAAAATTATATCATGATTCATATTTTTATCCATTGGTTGATTTTTCTAAATTTTCACTAAATATGCATTACATTTATAATAAAAACAAGCAATACATAGATTTTCAAATTGAAGAAAAGGGAGGATAAGATAGGCTAATATAACTTTAATGCCCCATGCAGGGGTTCAGAGTTGGACTGAAAAGTGGGTTCTAAGCTTTCTGAAAGCCATTACAAAGGAGAAAACATAAGCATTATGATTCCACAGTGCCCATCAGGAAAAACCAGTAAACAAACCAGTTGTTGTGGAGAATTATAACTTTTCTGAGATCAGAACAAATGTGTCCTATGAGTTTTCATAAAGTATACCAAATGAATCTGTATGAAGTGATATCTTCAATATTACAATAAATAGTTATAACTTCTACTGTGATGTTTCTTATATTATCGTTATACGGGTTGATGGCATAACTCCAATTGGTAAAAGCCTTCCTACTGAGGCCAAAACAGATTGTAGAATATCTACTGGTGATAGATTGTGGAGTATCTAAAAGAGAGAAATCGATAAATTACTTATACTTGAGACAGGCTTCTGTTAATCTGTTTACCATTAATCTGGGCCCATTTAAGAACTTTATAGGCCCTAACTTCTGAAAAGTTATATTGGTACTCCCCACTTCTTACCACTGTTCTCTCACACATATATACATACTAAAGGTGAGAATAAAGGTAAAAAGTGAAGAGTAAAATAAGTAAAAGAAATTCCAATAATAGTCTGATTCTTTTCATATCAACTAAATATCAAAGACAAAAATCATTCCCCCTAATCTCTTTTTTCTTATTTTTTACTTCTTCTTGCTTTGATGGTACCCTAAACCAGACAAGCTTGGTCTGCCTACTAGGCAGCAGTATCTCAACCCAGTGTTCGATGGGACTCAAATGAAAATGAGTTGTGATCCTAGACAGGTACCTAGAGTGCCCTATACACTTGCTGGTTAAGGGCAGAACCTAAGTCTTTCTGAGTCAGTGTAAATGGTAGTAGGACTGGGATCCTCTTCTGGGAAGTGAGGCACTTAACAAGAACCCAGGTGAAGAGAAGGTTGTCCACTGCCTCATGAAGGTGGACCCAAATGGTACCCAGTGGCAAAAACCAACCTGGACGCTATGTTCTTCAAAGTGCCACTTCCAAATAGCAATGTTCCAAAATAACCAGTATCACTGGAATGCTGAAACAATAATATAAGTTTTGGTGTTTTATTGTGATAACAAAATATCATTCCCCTTTTATACACTAAATTTTCCTTCCTAGTTCAAAGCTTCCCTCGAAGTATTTATCTGACTGCTATGGAGAACAGCCATTGCTTCTAATCTCTTTCTTACTTGCTTACCTGCTGTCCTACTTTCTTACTTTCATCAAGTGTACGGTCTCAGTTCTCTGGTTGTATATAGTAAGGAACACCAACGACAGTCATCTCTTCATTATCTTTAGATCAGTTATCTAATTGGTAGATTAACCACTATAAAATTGTAATAACAACAAAGCACATGAGAAAAAAATAACAAAGCATCGTTTTTGTAACTCTTTCTGGTAGGCAACCCCCATAGTTACTGGAAGTGGGAAATCCCCTTGCAGATCAGCCGAGAGCCTGACAGTGTGGCCCCACACCCTCTTCTACTTTTAGCTCAATAAGAAGCAAAGCAGGGGCCAAGATAGAGAGGAGGTATGGGTTGTGGTTTCTCACACAGAAAATGGGGATGTGAGAATTAAGTGAGAAAAGGGTGCAAGAAGAATAAAGTAAACAGCTGAATCTGCATCTTTGAGCAATCTGGATAAAAAAATAGTATTCCTAGTGGATAACAACATTTGGGACATGTTTACCTGGCAACCTATATGATATAAAGTGCTTGTTTCTGTTCTTATTGCTACATAACACACCAGCCCCAAATCTAATGGCTCAAACAACAACCATTTCACTTGCTCACAACAGTGTGGGCCAGGAATTTGGACAGGGATGGCTTATATCTGCTCAGTGATGTCTGGAGCTTTAGCTGGGATAGCTTGACTGAAATCATATCCCTAAGGTTTTGATTCTGGATTTTAGCCAGGTTCTTCAGTTCTCCTGCAGGGAGTGGCCTCTCCACAAGGCTCTCTTGGGCTTCCTCACAGTATATATAAAACATACTGAAAATACAGTACATTTTAAGAAAAAAATACGTCTGCCACGAAACTTCAGTTTTTTTCAAACTGAAAAAAGGAAAGACTTAAATACGCCATTGTCATGGATTGTAATGGTGGCAGAAAATTCTATAGAACAAGGACCGTCTGTCTTGAAAGTTACAGAATGCACTGGCATTGTTTGTGAAAGCACAATGAGGTCCAGATCTAACTATACTCTGAAAGAAAGGAAAGGAAAGGGAAGGGAAGGGAAAGGAAGGGAAGGAGAGGAAAGGAGATGGAAGGGAAGGGAAGGGAAGAAAGAAGGAGGGGGAGGGAGGGATGAAGGGACAGAGAGGAAAAGAAAGAAAACAGAAATGATTTTTTTAAAAAAAAGATAATAGAAGGAGAGGAATGAAAACTTCAGGGTTGGACAAGAATTGCAAACTCGGTGTGGTAGCCATTATTAATGACAGCAGGAGTTGTAGAAGCAATTATGTCAAGGAAAAATATATTGGTTATCTCATGTTCAAAACCGGGGAGATTTAACATATGTATTAAAAAATATTTGGATAAGCTTTTTATGTTCCACATTCTAAAAATATCTAAAAAGTTTCCTTAAGCTTGTCTGCATGGAAGTAAGAAGAAAGGGTCACAATCGTGCAACACAAAAATAGCATCTGACTTAAAGGAAGTGTGAAAAACAGTAAAATTGTTGAATCAAAATGGAGGGCATATGGTTTTTGTTGTACTATTCTTCCAACTCTTCTGTGATTGAAACTTTTCAAAATAAAAAGTTTAGTATTTCGGTATCCAACCCCATCTCCCTCAGCTGAGGCTGAGGCTTCTCTACTCCAGGTCAAGTATCCAGGGATGGAACAGCGGCTCAGTATTTTTACTTCCTTTCCCTACTGTCCCTCATTTTAAGCAGCCTCTCTCTAGTCCTGAGCACTAGGAAGATATCCCTAAGAAGCAAGTACTGATGCTACAGAAAGAAAATCTAGCCAGATTTCCCCTGCCCACAGTTGATGGGCAGTTGGAACTCTAACTCTGAGACCTCCTCTATGCATGTTTATACTTCAATGAATCTATTTGGCTCAATTTCCAAAAATACTTCATTAGGAATTATACAGTACATTTAAGTCAATGAAAACCCAACTGGGTCTGTGTGAAAACAAACAAATTATAAAAGGAAGTCAAATTCTATAATGATGTTTCTTCCTAGGAAAAAATTATAAGATTGAATTTATACTGGATGATATTGCCCGGGTGGAATCTGGGACTCTGAGTCTACCAGCACAGTCTGTCGCTAGTGGTGGTGGCACCAATGGTGGCAGCAGCAGCAGTGGCAGCAGTGACAGCAGCAGCGGCAAAGCATCGACTATGGGCACAGCTGCGCAGACAGTGATTGTAGTAATTAGCTGTCTGATGGGAAGAGTGTTGCTCTTGGAAACATTTATGGCCACAGTTTTGATTTTGAACATAAATCTAGGTAAGCATAGTTCATTTCTTATGTAATGTATGTATATGTCTCCACATACTGAGATTCCAGTAAATGTTTACTAAACAGAGATCAAGGGCACAACCATTGTGCATGGCACCACTGGGAACACAGAGACATGGTCTTGGCCATTGAGAAAGTAATAGCTTCAGTGGTGGAGATAAAGACAACCTTACAGGAAATGTTATTCACATTACATGATGGCATATGGGAATGTGGGGAATGAGAAGATAATGGTGGGCTCTCTTTCAGTTACAAGGGGCAGAAGCTCAGCTTGAATTGGTTTAGGCAGTAAAATGAACTCACTTAACTGGGAAGTCCAGTTGTGATTTCTGCTATAACTAGACCTAAGCACTCACATGATGTCATCCAAAAATTATGTCTCTCCATCTCTGGACTCCATGCTCTTGATGGTAGTAGATTCACTCTCAGGCAGACTGACCACCCCCAAACCTCATGGCAGGGGTACCACCTGTGTCTTCATGTACGTTCTACCAGCCCGGCAGCTAATGCAGAAAGAGCAAACCTTTCTCAACACTTTCAGCAAAATCCCAAAGCAGTATCATTGACCTAGTTTGGGTCACACATCCATTCTTGAACCAATCACTAGAGCCACCGGGTGCTGTGTACCCCATCCCAGCTAATGCCAAGGTCATTTTTCTCATCTCTCAGGCTGATACTTCTTAGGCTTCTTTCCTTCAAGCTCCATGTCCCTTCAAGTTGCCCTATGTCCATCCATAATGTTACAGATCTGTTCCTCCTTTAAAGTCTTGGGGCTCCACTTACAACTTCTTCTTTTTTATTACTTCTTTCTTGAGCTTTTCCCATAGCCTCCTGAATTCCCTGCTTCAGAACTCCTCACTTTCAGCCTATCCTCCATATAGCTGTCAGATTTATGACATGTAGTGATGTCATGTAGTGATTTGTCATGTCAGATCCTCAAAGATTCCTCACTACATGCAAATTGTAATCAACACCAAAGGTCCTGAAGTCAGTTTTGAAGATTTCCTCCTGTGACAAATCATTCCTAGAAAAGATTTTTGCCATCCTACGTATTCCCTCCCTTTGGGCTTTCTCTGCTCATGGCTAATGAGCTAATGCTCATGGCTAATACATGTAATTCTCTTCTCCCTTGTTCTCCAGTTATGCTTTGTTTCTACCATTATTATAGCCTTTCCTGTGGTATACTTGTATTAAACTTACACAAATTCAAATCTACCTTCCTTCACTAAATAAACTGTGAGTACTCAGAAGATAAGACCACATACCGTATTTATCATAGGTGCTAAAAATGTGGTTTAGTTGATTTTAAATATTAAAAGGGGGACAAGTCCTGCCTGCCAACATAGGAGGAAATGTTGAGTTGGGGTAATATAGGCAAACAGTAAAAAGCTTAGACTGGCAGGTATTAATCAGTTTGCAGTTGATCTAATAGGGGAATGATGAAGAGTTTCTGACAGATTAATGAGATGAAAGTATCACATAAAGAATACTGATAAGATTTAAGAAGATGAAAACGGTGCTAGAGATTGGTTGCACAGCAGTGTGAACATACCTAACGCTACTTGTCCACTTTAAAAATGGTTAAAATTTGGGGTGCCTGGGTGGCTCAGTTGGTTAAATGCCCGACTTCGGCTCAGGTCATGGCCTCACGGTTTGTGAGTTTGAGCCCCATGTTGGGCTCTGTGCTGACAGCTCAGAGCCTGGAGTCTGCTTTAGATTCTGTGTCTCCCTCTCTTTCTCTGCCCCTCCCTCACTCACTCTCTCTCAAAAATAAATAAACATTTAAAGAATTTTTAAATAAATAAAAATGGTTAAAATTTTATGTTATATGGATTTCACCCTGATTAAAAAAAAATTTAAAAAATCAGGATTGATCTATACAGAACCAATACAGATCTCCAAATATCAAAAGATGATAAATATTCTAAGTTTTAAGATACCTAATTAGGTTCTTATATTTGAGTAACAATCAAAATCCAAAGAAAGATTTAAGAAGAATTTGAGATGGGGTAATAATTTAAAAGGATACTGAAGAATTTCAAGCAATAAAATCCAAGACCATAATTTAAATTTAAACATAGATAAGGTCAGGATGAAGGGACACATTGAGGCTGGTTCTGGGAGTAGCAGAACAAACTGGAGGCTGGGGTTTCAAGAACAATGATCAAACAGGAATTATCTGTTCTTTCCTCTTAATGGCAGAAATCAATTAGGAGACAGCTGTCAAGGGAGAAGTGTGGTTTGAAGAGACTCAGTCCTGGCCTCTTATAGCTGAATAAGGGTGGGTTTAGAACTAAGGGACAAGAAGGAAATGATCAGCACACAAGTTATTGTATTTTTATGCCAGAATTCTAACAGAAGCAAAATCAGTTGTCCATTTTACAATAGCATGACAGGTACTACTTGAATTTGTTTCTTCTCAGAAGCATTAAACTATAAGGTATAAGTACTGCTTAGTATATCTTTGTGCATTTTGTATTTACTCACTAAATGCATTGTTTTCTAATTACCCTCACTGACTTTCAGCCTGCTTATTCCCAAAAACTTTGGGATTATATAAAATTCAGAAAATTCTATTTTCAAGTCATTAGTAAATAATATTGTTCCTGGCATTTTCTCCTCCCCCCCCTTCCCCCCCTCCTCCCCCTCCCTCCTTCTTCCCCTCCCCCCTCCTCTCTCTCCTCCTCCCCCTCCTCCCCCTCCCCTTCCTCCTTCCTCTTTTGAATGTTTATTTATTTTGAGAGCAAGACAACATGAGCAGAGGAGGGACAGAAAGACACGAATCCAAAGCAGGCTCCTGGCTCTGAGCTGTCAGCACAGAGCCCAATGCAGGGCTCAAAACCATGAACCTCAAGGTCATGACCCGAGCTGAAGTCAGTCGCTTAACTGACTGAGCCACCCAACCGCCCCTATTCTTGGCATTTTCTTTAGGACTTTTTTTCTCCAGATAGAAAAATTAATCAACATCTTCTCCCTTGCTACTAAATAATCGCTCAGTAATCTATCCTTCAATTAAAACATAAAATGATTTGGGGCGCCTGGGTGGCGCAGTTGGTTAAGCGTCCGACTTCAGCCAGGTCATGATCTCGCGGTCCGTGAGTTCGAGCCCCGCGTCAGGCTCTGGGCTGATGGCTCTGGAGCCTGGAGCCTGTTTCCGATTCTGTGTCTCCCTCTCTCTCTGCCCCTCCCCCGTTCATGCTCTGTCTCTCTCTGTCCCAAAAATAAATAAACGTTGAAAAAAAAAAACATAAAATGATTTAAACACCACTGTCCTAGTCTTGGGCTACTATAACAAAATACCACAGACTAAGTGGCTTTCTCATGGTTCTGGAGGCTGGAAATTTATTTCTCATGGTTCTGAAGGCTGGAAGTCTGAGATCACGGTGCCAGCATGGTGAGGTGAGGGCCCACTGCTAGGTCACTGATGGAGCCCTCACAGGATAGAGGGGCCTCAGGAGCTCTGGGGGTCTCTTTTATAAGAACACTAATCCCATCATGATGGTTCCACTCTCAGGACTTAAACACCTCCCAAAGGCCCCACATGCAAATACTATCTCATTGGGTGTTAGGTTTTCAATGTAGGAATTTGGGGGTGGGGTGCATTCACACCATACCAACTATTAATGAAATGAAATGCTGGGATTTTTATAACTTTGCATTCTGAATTAACACTTCTATTTGTAAGAAAGTCATGAAGTTCCACTAAATAAAATGACATCTTGAATGTGAAAAATACAAAATTTAAGCACCATTATTGTCTCTCCCCAGTTCCACAAAAAGAGTGCATTATTGATTCTAACAATACATGGTCAACTTTGAAATACTAATTTTTTAGTACTGCTTTTGCCCTATTAACCATACCATGAAATATTAGAAATGTTAAATGAATTAAACATATTTTAAACCACACTAGATGTTACTGCTACTTAAAAAAATATTTGTATTGTTTTCACGTTTCAGGATGCAACTAAAAGTGTGCTGTTGCGAAGAACAGGCTGAAAACAAAAACACAAGAGCTGCTTTTTACAAGCTATTTTATTGCACAACAAGAAAAAGCCTATAGCGTTTTCAAGAAAATAAGCGAAAAATATTTTTATAATATATAAAATGTACTAATTAGCTTTCATGACAAAAATCAAATTTCTTCAAAATATAAGTCTTTTGATTCCTTATATTCATATGTCCTTATTTCATTTAAAAAAAACTTTAAGAAATCTTTGATTTGGAAGCAGATATGCCACCTCCAAGTTGCTATACCTACAAATCATAGAGTCCTTTATGTGTGCAAGAGCTTGTCTAGTTTTGACTTACCCACTTTTAGATCAGATTGGAAGCATTTTGAATTTGTGTATGTACTGGGGGATCTGACTTCCTTTATCCATTCATGACGCTCTGCTTTCCAATGATCTAAACCATTCTAATTTCTTAGGATTTTGGAGAAATGAGATTTGTTTTATACCTTTTTCAGACAAAGTTGCTGATTTTCAGATCTATAGTAATCCTAGAAATTCTAGATTGCCCTGGATTTCTGGGCCTGCCAAACCCTGGCTACCATTCTAAGAGTTTTTGTTGTTGTCTCTGAGCAAACTTTTGGAAAAAGCCCAAATTATCTCTGCTTACGTTCTTCCCACTCAAAAATGCCTCAGCTATGAGTGTAGCTTCCTATAACCCCATGCTATAGCACAAGAAATGCATATTTTTAAGAGAATAAAATAAGGGAATGCAAAAAAAAATCATAATTAATGTACATAAGTTAACCAAAAGCTCTCATACTATGAAAATTGTACTTCTTACTCAGAAAATTCTAAAGGAAATGCTTAATTTTGAGGAAGAACTATCAATAAAGGCATTTAGCTATGTCCAGAGCAAGAAAAGCTGATACTCAGAAAAGTTACCTTCCAGCAAGTAACACTAAGGAAGCATTGGGAACAGCTGCGAACATTCAACAAATTTCAGACCTTTCTCTTCTGTCTGCCATTTCCTAGTATACTCACCCCACATCATTGTTAATCTTGGTTAAGAAAAATAGTAAACATTTGCCAGGTAGCAAATCTAAATATCTTTGTATAAATCTGGCATTTTGTTCAGTCAAAGTGAACAAATCTATTTAATCGAATCTATCTAGTCAAATCTATTTAGCATTTACTAGATACGAGACATTCTAGTGAGAAGACTACAGGGAATAAGATGCTGTCTCTACTTTCTACCAGCCCACAAAGTAGTTGGGGAAACAGTCCTGGAAAAAGGTAACACTGATGCAAAACAGTATGTGAGGACCACAGCTCAAGGGTGATGCCTGAGATGAGTGTTGAGGAATAAAGCATGAGATGAACCAAGGAAGGAAGAGAGTCCTGGCAGAGGTGTGGTGGCAAGAACGAAGGCTGGAACACCAGTAGATGGTGAGTTCCTGGAAGGCAGGGCACTCCTTACGCAGCATGTCTTCCTGCCATGTAACAAAACATCCAGCACTAGTAGATCCTGATTCGCTGTTTAGTGGACAAACGAAGCATGGAATGTGGGGAAATCAGCAAGCGGTCTGATGTTACTGGAACACCAATCTGACATAAGGAACGGCACCAAGCAAGGCTGGAAGGAGAGACAACAGTCTTCTGTGCCATGCCATCAGAAGAGCTTGGATTTATTTTGTAGGTCCTAGGGATGCAGTTTTAACTAGGTATTAAAATAGAAGTTTTGGCTAGGACACATTTTAAAGGGGGGGGGGGTGTACCAAACAAAGATGTACAACCTTTTTAAGTAGGTAGCCCAGAAGAGTAGATTGGAGGATTTTTGGAGAGCAGTTTTTTGGAAATAGCTATGCTGAGAGACCCTTTGCAAAGGGGAAGGATTGGATGTACTAGCTCGCAATGCCAAAGCAAGAGACAAGGATTTTAATTAGGCTTATGGAAGCTCAGAGGTTTGAGGCACACAATGGATTGGTGTTGGACTCATTGCTGTTAAGAATCCTAGACAAAAAGGTTTTAAATAGCCTTCATTCATAAGCTGGCCACTTTTTTAAAAAAAATGTTTCTTTGAACAATGCTGTCTTAGAAATTCATTTTTAATTTTTTAGAAATACTTTTTAATGTTAGAAGTGGCTATTTACTGGTATATTAGGATTGTTCTATCCACAATGTGAAAAATTCATATAATAAATATAATGCTTCCACTTTGCTCAATGTAAGGAACAGGATAAGTTAATAAGAAAGAAAAAAAAAGAATGTCTTCCTATATTTCTGATAAGTAAAACATTTATGTCTTGTACTACTGTTTCTACTCTTTTCTAAGCTCTATCACTTTTGATCATTGCAGTGACTCCCAGATGGTGCATCTACTACTACCACTGCGGTGCCTGAGTGGCTCAGTCGGTTGTGCGTCCGACTTTGGCTCAGGACATAATCTCATGCGGTCAGAGCCCCTCATGGGGCTCTATAATCACAGCTCAGAGCCTGGAGCCTGCTTCAGATTCTGTGTCTCCCTCTCTCTCTGCCCCTCCCCCACTCAGGCTCGGTCTCTCAATAAACATTAAAAAAATTAGAATACTACTACTAACAATAACAATAAATAAAGATTCACCACATGCTTACTATGTGTCAGACATATGCTGAGTGTTCTATGTGGACTCTTTCCTTACAATAACCCTGTGAAGTCATTGTCCCCTTTTCCAGATGAGGACACTGTTGAAACCTAAAAAGATTTAATAAAATGCCCCAGTTCACAGAGCTTCCAATGGTAAAGCTAAGATTCAATCTACCTCCAGAACCAAGTGGCAACATTTCACTGCTTCTCACTTTTCTTCAAGTACTGGAAAGTGTTTCATTCTGAAGAAGTTTTTCATAAAACATATTTATGTCTAAGACACAAATTCTAGGTTTATACTTTATGACCTCTATGGCCTCAGGCACGTTCTTAGTTTTTCTCATTCTCGGTTTCTTCACACATAAAATGTGGAAAAAATATCTACCTTGCAGTGTGGTATTTGAGGACTAATGATAGCATGTATATGAAATTCAATAACAGTGTCTAACACGTGGTAGGTGGTAAATGGTAGCCACTCTTGCTATTTTTAGTACCATAATGTTGCCTATATCATGTCAATCCCTGGCCCAATAAATCATTAGGCTTCTTATTACACCAGAACAAGGTCTAGCATGTAATAAACACTGTGAGTGTTAATTAAATAGACTCTTAGGCTGGGCACAGACCACCTAGAATAAAGACTAGTTCCCCATCTCCCTTGCCATTAGGAATGACCAATTTTTGTGTAGTAAGTTATAAAACTGGAAATAATCTTGTGGAATATTGTAGGAACTTAAAAACTGGCTGTTAGGCATCGCTTTGCCTTTTCTTCATCCTTTTCTGCCGTGTGGAACAAGATGTGTCCTTGGGCCAGGGAGACAAAGGCCAGCCCCTGAGTGCTCAGTTGCAAGGAGCTTGAGTCCCTGACAATGTGGTGCCCTATACCAGCCCTTGCTCTTGCAGGGTTTCCTTGTTACTTGGCAGAAATACTAAACCTAAACGATGTATCTCCTGGTTTCAGAAGATTCTTGAAAGAAACAAGAGAACAGGGAATTAATCCTTCCCATCCAGGGATGTGGGCAGGGATAATACCAGGGCAAGAGAATAATTTAAAACATCACGGATATCTTTGAAGTTTTTGCCTGTATCCTCCAAAACAGAAGTGCTTAAACCTTGATCTGAATCCATTGCATATTTGGTTTAGGAAGCCTACCTGAAACAGGTGAACCATCACACTTTTCTTCCATGTTCATCAGTGGGCATTTTCAGCTTCCTCAGGCCAGTACCAGCTGCCAAGAAGTGTTCAACTTCCAATGAAGGAAACATTCACCTCTCCAGAGAGTAGCTACAAACACATTTGTAAGACCAAAAGGAAAAGTACCTGCTGTAGGGGTTACAATAGGTATTTGAATACTTGTGGGCAATCTGACCAGCTGTAACAAGCCTCTAGCTGTCTTACTTACAGGTCCTAATAGACTAATTATGATGATCAGATTATTCTAAAATTAGATAACTCCCTATGAAAAAACTGTTCTTTCAGGCATTCTGTGTACCCATGACAAGCTGATTTTATTAGAGAAGTTCCTCCAGGGTAAGTGTTCTTTATGCTTTTCACTTCTCTAACATGCTTAGCACACGCTGTGCCGATGGTCAGTGTTGAATAAACTGTTTCATTAAACAAATGAGTAGGCTGCACAATGAAACTTTTCCTCTACAAGATTTTTGAGATAAACAAGTCCTTCCAAAATATTATAGAAATTGCACTTTATCTTCACTTACTGCCTTAACATTTCAAATAACAGTGTATAAAATTCACATCCAGTTAGACAACACAAGTTGTGGTTGCTATGGTAATGGGCTCAGAGCCTATGAGCAGAAAAAAATAATTCCTTTTGAGCAAGATATTTATTTGTGTGTCCAGTTATGTGGCAAGAATATTTTCCTTTGGCTTTTCTTTACAGTAATTTATTCAGGCAGATGACCTTTTATGCATACAAGTTCTCCCTAGGAAGAGAGAAAATAAATATATTAAGTTTTTATATTGAAACAGTATATACAGAGAAATGTTTTTAACAAGAATTGATGGTATGTCTCACATTTTAAAGGGCCAGACATGGTCATAGGGGGATCCAAGAGCAGCAATTTGAAATGAAGAGATTAAAAAGCAACAATCAAGACACATGTCCTTCCAAGTGAATTTGAATTGATGGACAACAGCAAATCTCTATTTTGAACAGGACCTTTATTGTGAAGACGCTTTAAAAATATTTATATTAATCATACAGCAAAGTCCAAGCTAATTTAGAGGAAAGAAAAAAATAAAATACAAAAGACTAGTTAGAGATGATTATGACAATTCTGGTGTGCTAAAATGATAGATACTGAGAAGAAAGAATGGACAAAACTTGGTAACAGATACTATTAGAAGCACAATATCCCAGAAGTAGTGAGAAAAAGCATGGAGAAGGTAGGGTTGTAGGTGCTTTCCTTGTAACAGCTGTTTTCACATTCTGTCTTTATTTTTTTTTTTAAGTTTTCATTTATTTATTTTGAGAGAGAGAAAGAACGAGAACGAGTGGGGGAGGGGCAGAGAGAGAGAAGGAGAGAGAGAGAATCCCAACAGGCCCTGTACTGTCAGCCCGGAGCCTACTGTGGGGCTCAAACCCATGAACTGTGAGATCATGACCTGAGCTGAAATCAAGAGTCAGATGCTTAACCAACTGAGCCACCCAGGCACCCCTCCCCTTCTGTTTTTAAAATCAAAAGGGCAAAGGAGTTGAGGAATGTACTCAGAATGTAACTTTAAAATTTAGCATTCCTTCTTCTTTCCCCCTTTTTATATGTTACTAACAAACATGTCTATTTCTGGCTGCTGGTAACAGAAAATTCACTCCTCTTTTTCCTGGAAGCACTATGCCCTGCTGTGAGCTGAAAGAAGATTCTGCTAGACTTGAAGATGATAAAACTTCCATTGACCTTATTGCTTTGTTTCCAACACATTTCTACATATATTATGCCACTTAGTTTGCAAATTAAACCTATAAGGCAGGGATTATTAATCTAATTTTGCAGATGAGAAAACTAAGCTCAAATGTGTTTAAGGCTGAAGCCACAATGTCCATCATGCTACAGCTGAATGAATTAGGCTTTCATTGTTCATTCAGTGTTGTTTCATTTCTAAGTTTTCAATTCACATATGAAACAGATTGTGTTATAAACTGTTACTTTATATTGGTTGTTGGCATCTTAACACATTTACCCTTAGAAATAATAAATGGCCTTACATTTCCAGATCTCAGATCACATCTACTTAACTCATAATATAGCTGAACTATATTACAGCTCTAATAACAACATGGACATTAGCCAAAGAGGTATTATGTTGTTGAACCTCACTACTGGAACACAGAAGTGAAGAGTTAAGGGTATCTTTTTATTTGAATCCATTTTCCTTCCTCCCTCCCTCCCTCCCTCCCTCCCTCCCTTCCTTCCTTCCTTCCTTTTAGAGAGAGAGCACAAGTGGGAGAGAAGGGCAGAGGGGGAGAGGCAGAGAGAGAGAGAGAGAGAGAGAGAGAGAGAGAGAGAAATCTTAATCAGGCTCCACACTCAATGCAGAGCCCAATGCAGGGCTCCAACTCACAACCACGAGATCATGACCTGAGCCAAAATCAAGAGTGGATTGCTTAACTGAGCCACCCAGGTGCCCCTGAATCCATTTCTAATAAAAGACATGGATTATTTTTCTCTATTCCTATCCAGGCCTCTTCTAAAGGTTAAGTTGTTTAACCCTAAATTATTCTTAAACCTTGGGTCTTCCTGTATTTAGCAATAAAAATTACTACCAATTGAATATACTATAGTAATATTTGTGATGGAAAATATTTAAATCTTCACAGAAAGTCAGTTTTCCTTTAACAGAAAATAAGAAAGCTGCTTCAGACTTTTTGTTTTCTCTATTAAGCAACTGATACTATGTATTAAATGGTGATGATGGATATTAAAAAATAAGTTATAATTTTCCAGAATATTAAAATGTATTATTTTGAAAGCAAGCACGATTCTCTAGAATAGAAAGATCAATAAAACAATCCATTAAGATTATCATCAGAAAATCCTTTGCTTTCAAACGTATCTATTCAAAACTGTCACTCTGTGAGCCGCAAGGCTTTGTTTTGCTTGATTGAGAAATGAATGTGACTTTATAATCTGTATTCAACCACGAACAGCTGCTCATTAATAAAAGGCCATTAAAGTCCAAGTCAGAACAGCAGGTCTAAAATTATGCTTGAGGAAAAAACCATCCCTTTAGTGAAAAGACAGAATTGGGTTGGGGAGATCTGGAAACACTGGGCTGTGTTTGCAAGGTCTGCCCTAACTACTGGGCAGGGATGGGAGGACAGTTGACAAAACACTACTCAGACCCACATGGAGAACTCAGAACAACAAAGCCCATACAGGCTTTGAACTGGGAGATTAAATGGTGAGCTGCAAGTTGATAAAAGTGAATAAATCAAGTTGGTGATTAGGGATTGGGCAGGGGCAAATCAGAAGCCTCAAAATGGGTAAAGTGTCTGAACACAGAGCAGGTAGAATTAACTGCAACCCATGGAAGACAGGCAATTCAGAAAATTTTTCATATACCAAGTCTATGCCTTATCCTCCTCCCACTTGACATTTGGTGGTCCCTATCCCCACCCCACCCAAGCCTTGGGCGGAAGACTGGACCTCAAATTGCACACTCCCAAAGGATGGTCCCCATGCAAGATCCCAAGTTATTGGGGGATTTTGCATTGTTAGGATATAGGCATTTGAAGAGATTAAGGTTAGAATGTTTACATTTTTTTTTTCAACGTTTATTTATTTTTGGGACAGAGAGAGACAGAGCATGAACGGGCGAGGGGCAGAGAGAGAGGGAGACACAGAATCGGAAACAGGCTCCAGGCTCTGAGCCATCAGCCCAGAGCCCGACGCCGGGCTCGAACTCCCGGACCGCGAGATCGTGACCTAGCTGAAGTCGGACGCTCAACCGACTGCGCCACCCAGGCGCCCCTAGAATAGGTGTTTAAAAGACTGCAGAGGATTTAGTGGGTTTACGGAGGTACAGTAACTGGGAATGATGATGAAATAGTGTACTAGTAGTATAACAGCAGCAGCTGCAGTAATAGCTATTGTCTATGTACGCTTGCCGTGTGCCAGGCTCTGCCCTAAAGAGCTTTGAACCGGTTAGCCATCCTATGAAGTAGGCACTATTATGTGCACAGGCTGCTTTCAAGCAAACAGGCTTGAGCAATGGAGTATAAAAAGGGCCCACAGAGACCCCCTGGCTGAATACAGACAGGCCCATCAGGGGTTCCACCTCAAAATATCCATAGGCCCTAACTGACCAATGGGCTACTTACAAGTAGGCACAATTACCAAAAAAGGGAGAATTCAGTACTTCACCATACCTCCTTATCTTACCCCCTTTAAAAACAGTCCCAGGGACACGTGAGAGGCTCAGTTGGTTGAGCATCTGCCTCTTGACTTTGGCTCAGGTTATGATCTCAGGGTCCTGGGATGGAACCCCATGTCAGACTCCATGCTGGGCTTGGAGGCTGCTTAAAAATTTCTCTCCCTCTGCCTCTCCTCTGCTGTGCTGTGTTGTCCCCTGGCTCCCCTGTGGTGTATTCGAAACAGTTCTATCTCCTTTGTTCTGCCTCATACACATTTTTTCACCTCCAGGGCCATTGTCCGTCTGATCCTGTCTCCGCATTTGGGGGCTCCCATCCAGTGGTGAGACACCCCATTATGGTCATGCTACTGATGAGGAAACTGTGAAATAATGTATCCAAAGTTACATAGAATCATTCTAGAGCAAAAGTTATAAACATACAGTTCATCTCTTGGGGATAAACAAGTTAAATTACAAGAAATGTGGTACGGATTGAAGTGGGAAGGGTACTTACAAAGTAAGTGGGTAGGTGAGTGCTGGTTAGGTGACTTAAATGATTGTAGTAAAAAAGAGATAAAAAACCAAAACAAAACACGAACTGCTTTCAGCCTCTGACCATATAAACTATTGCTTTGCGACAGTGGAGCAGATAGTTTTCTGACGGCCCCTCGCCCACAACAAGCAAAGAATCCTGGCCTTTTAATAGCATACAGGACAAAAACGGACTTGAAAGAGAGAACCATAGAAAGAAAGAAAATCTTAGTTTGGCGGAATGGCTAGCCTGCGCTGCAAGCGACGAAGAAATGCAGGAACAAGGTTAAGTGCCACTTTTTAACTCCTAATTAAAGGAAATTCAATAACTTGGAGGAGGCCAAGTCCTGAATTAAACTAAATGTTTCGCACCCTTAAAGTGGAGGAATGATTGAGACCTGGCTTACCGACAGCCAAATTACCCTAAGACAGCCGCAATTCCCCCATTTTGCAATCTAAATACTGCTCTCCCTTGATCCCATTTGGTAGGGGGATTCTGTAGGTCGAACGAAAAAGGGGCTTGGTTGGAGCGGAGGAACTCTGCACAGAAAGTAGGGCAACACGGAAGGAACCCAGTCGTTCTGAGACGGAACAGTCCGTACTGCCAGCAACAGACACAGAAAACCTACCCGTAACCTAGCCTCTGCCACAGCCACGCCGGCCACCGCTCTCCCCGCCCCCCCCCCCCCCCCGGCGCTCATTGGCTTAGCCCGGTCGCCGGACCCGCAGTCTCTTGTCTATTGGGCCAGACAGGACCTGGGCGGGGTGCGGAAGTGAGGGTCCGGAGACAACCGAGAACCGCCTTCCAGGAGGGCGAAGTGGGAGGGGCCGGGGGAGTGTTTCCCGAGGAGGGGGCGGCCATGGCAGCTGCGCGGCGGCAACGGCGGCTGCGACGGAGCGCGCGCCCGGCTTTGAATGAGCGGGGCTGGGACTGAACGGGCGGAGCGCGAGCTCGGGGAAGCGACCGGCAGCGCGCGTGCGCGCGCCTTGTGTGCGCGCGCGGCCCGCGGCAGCTCGGAGCCTCCGCCGGGCGGGCGGGGAGGGGGAGGGGCAGGTGAGTGTGTGCGGCTCGCGCGTGCCCGCGAGGGGCTTCCCTCCGCCACTGCCCCCCGATCCCAACCTGGGGCTGGGAGGGGGGTCTTCTGCCTTTCCCTGGTCAGCCTTCTTCTTCGTCCCGCACTTCCTGCCCTCCCACCTTCCTTTTCGCCCCTCCACCCGGTTTCTCCCCTCTACGGCCGACTGCCACTCTGGGGTACTGTTTCCGGGTCGGGGTGACCTCTGGGGTGAAGGAACTGCGACTGGGAGCAGGCCCTGGGCGTGCAGCCCTCACCATGCCGCGCTCACGCGTGGAAGGCACGCCTGCGGGACGCCGGCGCGGAAGCCCTCGAGTCTCTGAATGGGCCCCCGCAGGTCCTTCCTGCCCTTCTTCTGCAGGCCTTGCTCCTTCCCAGATTTTTCCAAAATCCAAATCCCAACCTACCCCTGCACCCACTTCTAGCGATTTAGAGCGTTTCGCTGAGCGCCGTTTGCATGGCGTTGGGTTGTGTAACCTGAAAATGCTCTTGTTTTTCTCATCTGTACAGTGGGTATGATTTTTTTTTTCATCAGCCAGTTTCAGGTGGGTGACCATAAGTGAAAGCATTTTAGTCATGAAACTCCTACCTTTTGAGTCATTCAGGAGACCTTAACTCTATCAGCCCTCCTCGTTAAGAGTTCGGGTGTCACATATTTGAGGGCCTTTAAGTGGCAGAGATGGTACCTTCAGCGCTCCACTGTACAACCCACTCCCACGTTCCACTTCTAGTTCCCTTTCTCTTTGGTTTTTCACATGTGAGTTCAGGTAAATTTTATTTTTGCAGTCTTGTGATATTCCTTAACCAACTTGAGAGTTACCAACTTAATTTGAGGCTGTCCCGTACTGTACTAGATCGTATGTATTTTTTAAATTTTATTTTGGTATTGAAAAATTTCAAAAATGTGTTTTTAGAATTACAGCAATTGAAGACTTATTTATTCTGGTGTGTACTAACATAGATTTTGGCTTGGCTTGTTTGACAAATTGTGATCTAGTGACTGCTGAAAGGGTCTCGCCAGCACTTTAAGGGTTACAAGGAAGGAAGATACATTTAATCTTGTAGTTTCTAATGCAGTGTTTTTTCACAAGTGTAGATGAATCTTTCTCTTGACTGAGTGGGGTTCTCATTCCTGTTGATTTCCTAGAGATGTTCATTTCTCCAAAAGCCCTGAGGATAGGTTGCTTCAGAATTCTGATTCTTTTCCTGATGTATCTTAATTTTTTGCATTTTCTTACTAATTTTAAAGGAAATTTTAATTTAAAAATCAGGTTTTATTAGCATTTTCAGTTTTGAAAGTATTTTGAAGTAACCAAACTGCAAAGTAGCCTAAGATGCATACTTAACAAGCTGATGACCTTTCAAAAATTAAACTGAGACAATAAGTACAAAATTAAAAGCTTTGTCAAATGCAATATGCTGTGGGGAGAGCCTGGGCTTTGGGGTCAGTCTCTAAATCCTGAGTGAGTGAATCTGAGCTTCACTGTCAGCCTCATCTGTTAAATGGGTATAGTGGAACTTAACCTCCTTGTCCTTAGGAGTCCAGCAACGTGATAGAACATAGATTGTCTACAAATATGTCTTGAACATACTGAATACTCAAGGAATGTTAATTTCCCTTCATTCAACAAATATTTGAGTACCTGCTATGTGCTTATCTATTGGATAAGATCTAGAAATACCAACCTGAGCAAGACTGATGAGTCCCTGTCTCTTTGGTCCCTTACATTGTCACTAGCCTGTGACAGTTGAGAGCAAACTAAGGGTTTCTCTTTACTGGGTCAATAGTTTTTCCCATCACCCAGGGTAGCATCTGTTAGATAGTAGGTGCTAAACATATATATTCGTTGAATTGAGTGGGAACATTAAGCAACTCTGGGTCTCAACAATATTCCTGCCTGCAAATGAGTGTAATTTATAAAATCAGAAGTATAGTTAACTTGAGTGCATTTTCCCGTTTCATTGCAACTGGTTAGAAAATTTAACCTGGAAATTATAATATCATCACTGTATTACTAAGAATGTGCGTTGTTAGTGAGGTGTTCTTGGCCTTGGAATTAAATAGACCTCCGTTTGAATCTGAGTCATTGGGTGTAGGAACAGGGAAACATGGACTTACTCTTAGTGCTTCAGTTCTATGAAATGAGAACAATATTATCTATCTCATAAGATGGTTTTATGGGTTAAGAGATAATTTTTAGATAATGCTTAGCATACAGTAGCTGGTCAATGAATATTGGTTCCTCTCTTTTGGTAATCACAAAAGCAAATTTTCCACAGAATGAAGATATTCTTCATTGCTGGGGAGAGAATTCTATTGTCAGTAATAGCCCCACTTCCTGTTTTTCTGTTGAACAAAACTTTATTTTTATTTTAGAGAGTGAGAGTGTGAGAGGGGGAGAGAGACAGAGAGAGAGGGAGGGATGGAGGGAGGGAGAGCGAGAGAGAGAGAGAAAGAGAGATGGAGGGAGGGAGAGCGAGAGAGAGAGAAAGAGAGAGAATCTTAAGCAGGCTCCACGCTCAGCAAGGAGCCCACCTAGGGCTTGATCTCTCAATGTTGGGATCATAACCTGAGGTGAAATCAAGAGTCAGACATTCAACTGAGTGAGCCACCTAGGTGTGCCTGTTGAACAAAACTTTAAATTTTAATTTCAGTTACCATTGAAATCGGCCAAGTTGACAAATACTGAACAATGACACACAACAATATTTGTGGCAAGGTGATGACAGTGGTTGCAAAGGTGCTATATGAAATTTATTTTCAACTGTGTGTGCATGTATATATCCAGAGACCCACTCCTTTCCCCAGTCCTTAGATATTAAATATCTTCTCCCTGATAGAGTATTTCCTCAGTTCTTTTCCCCCTTTCCTCCAAGTGCCACATTCCGTACAGTCTCTTTTCTAGTTATCTTTTTTTGTTATAATTTTTCTGAAATTTTAGCCTAAATTTTTATTTAGGGAAATTTGCTTTCCTTTGGTTGAGAGTTTTATTTTTGACAAATCAGCTTTAAAGTGAAGCTTTTGTTCATCTTAACTAGTCAGGTCATTCTGTTCATAATAAAGCAGTTAAACCTTTCAGGTCTGTCTTTGCAGCTGATAACTGAAGGTACTAGGCAAACAAGATTCCCTCGGGAAAGATGGTACAGGGCAGATAAGGTATATAGAAAAAACTCTAGTACAAAATATAGAATATAAGTACTGTAAGAGAAATATACTGGAATTAAGAAAACTTTATAACAGCCCAGCAAGAAATAAAAAAGGCTTATGCCAGGGAGATTGCAGTGGAAATAGAGAAGAATATGGGCAGTACTAGGAAATGGAATAAGGCCTTTTGACAGTTTGGACATCAGGGACTAAGAAAGGAGCAGTCAAAATTATTGCATTTTTTGAAATCCAGTAAACCAGTAATTGAGGGTTTTGTTGACAGAAATATTTAAGTTACTTGAATAGTGAACTTCTTAATTTTTTTTTTTTTTTTGGTTCATACTCTTTGAGTCACTATTTTTTCTGTCCTCTCAATTAGTAAGCCAACTCTGAATACAGGCATTCAGTAAATCATTCCATTCATGTGGAGATAAGGCCTCCGGTTTTACAAAAATGTATGAACATTGCTAAGGGAGCCTTTTGGAACTCTGTTACTATAGGGTCTACTTGGCCTTTCTACCTTTCTAATTGTAGAAATGAAAGGAGCTAGCTGTGTGTTTTGCCCTTCTTTGAAGGGACTGGCAGTAGTGGCTCTACAGAGCAGTTAGGATCAGGTACCATAAGAGTTGACTTGTATTTCCTTGTTTGCTTGTGTTTCTTTTCTTTTTTTTTTTTTTTTAATTTTTTTTTTCAACGTTTATTTTATTTTTGGGACAGAGAGAGACAGAGCATGAACGGGGGAAGGGCAGAGAGAGAGGGAGACACAGAATCGGAAACAGGCTCCAGGCTCCGAGCCATCAGCCCAGAGCCCGATGCGGGCCTTGAACTCACGGACTGCAAGATCGTGACCTGGCTGAAGTCGGACGCTTAACCGACTGCGCCACCCAGGCGCCCCTTGTGTTTCTTTTTTTAATAGTTTATTTATCCTGAGAGAGAGAGAGAGGGAGACCAAGAATTCCAAGCAGGCTCCATGCTACCAGCCTAGAGCCTGATGAGGGGTGGGGCGGGGTGGGGCAGGGTGAGGTAGGGTGAGGTGGTAGGGAGGGCTCAAACTCCTGAAACTTTGAGATCATGACTTAAGCTGAAACCAAGTCTGAGGCTTAACCTACTGAGCCACCCAGGTGCCCCCTTGCTTTCTGTTTTTGTTTTGTTTTTATTTGTTTTGAACTTTTATATTAAGGCATAACATACAAACAGTATATATAGTATACTGGTGTTGTTACCACTCAGATGGAAATGTAGATCTTAGTTCCCTTATGCTTCCATACAACTCCTCCATTAGAGGTGACCACTATTTTTTACTATGTTCTTTTTAATTTAATATAATATCTTACTAGTTGAGAAAACGGTTACATGCTGTTTTCAAGACTTTAGGAGGTTATTACTCATATCTGGTAATTAAAAACAAAGAGTACTGTCTGCTTTAATCCATACATGAATGAAATATATTTTAAAACATTAGGTTATTCATAGAGGGATGGTGTATTTATCTAGGAAGATTTGAAACTTATAAGTTTTATTGCCTATCTTAAAAAAAATTTTTTTTTAACATTTATAATTGAGAGAGCGAGACAGAGCATGAGCATGGGAGGGGCAGAGAGAGGAGGAGACACAGAATTTGAAGCAGGGTCCAGGCTCTGAGCTATCAGCACAGAGCCCGATGTGAGGCTTGAACCCACCAACTATGAGATCATGACCTGACCCGAAGTTGGACGCCCAACTGACTGAGCCACCCAGGCGCCCTTTATTGCTTATCTTTATAGAAAAAAAAGTCAGCATTTTAATTTTGGGTAGAAGTAACATAAAGCTCTCTCTGATTCCATGATAATTATTACTTAAGTGAGGTTTCACCCTCTTCTAAGTAAATATATATAGACCTGATGTCCAAACATAGTGTTTATGCTTTTTTATCTTGGAAAAAATAATGTATCAAATTATGTTTTCATTTGTTTTATCAAACCATTCTACTCCAAATAATGGTATTAACCAACTGTAATGATTGTTTCCCAAGTTGTTACTAATGGACTCGGAGGCAGATGAGTTTTAGTTGTGTGGCTTATTGCCTCACTTTGCGCAGAAAGTTAATTTCAGTGTATATTAGTTTGCTGATTGAGGCCATTAAGAAGTTGGATGATATACTGATATATTCAAATTATTCCAACATAGGAATCCTATTCTAAGTGCTTACTTGGTAATTTTCCTCCTGTGACAAATAAAAGGCAAGGAGCCGCTAAAACGCGAAAATTGCATTGTCAGAAACACTGCTGTGTGTGTGTGTGTGTGTGTGTGTGTGTGTGTGTGTGTGTGTGTGTGAGCATGCGCACTTGCATGTGTGCAGTTGTAATTTCTTCTGATTTGATTTAATGTTATTTGCTCTACCTTCCGACAGTGGAAAAATAG